TCTCCCTCTCATCCTCCCTTCCCTTCTCTAAAAATAAATGAATAAAATATTTTTAAAAAATAATAACAAGAGAAAAAAAGACATTATATACAAAGAAACAAAAGTAAGGATGATAGCAGATTTCTCAATACAAGTGATATATAGTGGTGCCACTTCTTTAAAGTAATAAAAGAAAAATAATATACTAATTTCCTATTGCTACTACAACAAATCACAAAAATGCAGTGACTTAAAACAACATGAACTTTTTATCTTAAATTTCTGTAGAGAAAAAATCTGAAATCAGTTTCACTGGACTAAAAATGAGATGCTGACATGGCTATATTCCTTCTGGAAGCTCTAGCAGAGAATCCCTCCCTTTACCTTTCCCTGCTTCTAGGCCATCTGCATTCCTTAACTTGCATCCCTTCCTCCATATTCAAACTCCATAGCATTGCATCTTTCCTTCTCTCTGTTTCTGTCCTTACATATTCTGTTTTTCAGCAGGACACTTGTGATTACATTGCGGGTCATCCAGACAATCCAGGATGGATATCCCCATTACAAAACCCTTAACTTAATCACATCCACAAACTTTACTATGTGAGTTGAGGTATCCCTAGGTTCCTAACATAGACATCTTTGAGAGGGCATTATTTAGCCTACTCTAATTGCCAAACTGTAATTCTATATGTGACACAAACATCTCTCATAAACAAAAGCAAAAAAGACTTTTTTGGCTTAAAAAACCTGAAAGAATTCATCACCAGCAAACTTACACAACGAGAAATTATAAAGCAAGCCCTTATATAAAATAAAAATGATACCTTATGGAACTTATGATCCATTTACATAATTCTAACAAAAGTCTTTTGGGAACGTATATGGCATATGTAGCAGAAATGATTTATGTTGATTATATTAACTGGCTAGGAATATCAAGTTTATCAAATTTATTGTAATATATTCTGAGCTATTTTTTTCTGTGTTCATAAAGTCCCAAACACATCATAAATGACAAGTAAAAATATTAGTTCTCGTTATATTAACATTTAGAAGGTAAAGATGGTTAGGATGCAAATAAAATAAAGAAAATCATAAAAGCCCAAGAAAACAGCAAGAATCCCTTAAAAATATTAAATAACAGATTTAATATTGCAAATGAAAATATGCTTTTAAATATACATTTTTATATTTTATTTATGTTTTTTTTTTCAGGAGCAGTGTGTATGGTTATAAAATATGTGATTGTACTATTAAACAGCCAGGTGAACTTTAGAAAGTGAGTTGAGTTTTTCTTACTCAGTATGAAAAGATTAAATTTATGACTTTATAAATCCTTCCAATCTTGAGTTTTTTGTTTTTTAGTCTACTGGTAGTTAGCTAATTATTTTCAAGAGGCTTATTGTAAGTTCAATAATTTAAAAAGTTTTATACTCAAAATCACTCATAGACTTACATGCATTAAGAAAATGTATTTTTAAAATTATTTTTAATATTTAATATTTTCATCCAACAATATTGTGTTTTATATTAATTAATTTGTAACAATAAACCATTATGGTTAGTTAAACTATAGTAAATATACAACATGATATGCTTCAGCTGGACAGCATATTTACTCAGCTTTAATATAGCTAATGAAGTGATCACCATGCTGTCTAGTAAGCACCTACCATTGTATAATGTTATGATATTATTGGCTATATTTGCTATGTTGTATGTTATATTTCTTTTTATTTTATAAAATAAACCTTATCCATTTTAAAACTGGAAATCTGTACCACTTATTCCCCTTCACCATTTTTGCCATACTTCCCCATTTCTTCCCTCTGGCAACCATCAGCCTTTTTCCCCCATGTCTATGATACTATTTCTGTTTTTTATTGTTTGTTTGTTTGTTTGTTTTGTTTTTCAGATTCTACATATAAGTCAAATCATATAGCATTTGTCCTTCTCTGTATGACTTCTTTCACTTAGCATAATACCCACTAAGTCCAACATGTTATCACAAATGGCAAGATTTCACTTAATTTTTATGGTTGAGTAATATTCCATTGCATAGCTAGCTGGATAAATAGATAGAGATATATAGATAAACAGATCTTACATCTTTATCCATACATCAATCAATGGACACTTAGGTTGCTTCCATGTTTGCACATCTTGGTTAATGTAAATAAGGATACAGTGAACATAAGTGTGCATAATAGCTCCTTTAGAATCAGTGTTTTCCTTGTCTTCAAATAGATACCTACAAGTAGAGTTGCTGAGTTATTTTTATTTTTAATTTTTTGAGGAAACTTCACACTATTTTTCATAGTGGATGTACCAATTTGCAATCCCACCAAGAGTGCAAGAAAATGTATTTTTATTAGCTTAATTTGTTCCTATACACATTTTTTTTTATACCATAGTGCTGGTCATACAGAAGAATGATTTACATGGTCTGCTGAACAGCAGAAAGATCCTAACTCTAGCGTGTTTCTATTGCATCTCTAACATCAATTGATGTATGAGTGAGTAGACATCAGGAAGCACCCGCCAAATGTATTTTAAATATATTATTTAAGCTTATTTAGACAAAAAATGCATATCACCCTAAAACGTAAGTATTTTCTTGCATTGGGATGGGTTTTGTAGAGTAAAAGTAAAATTATGTCTACATATACATATGGCAACTGCTGTATAAACCAAAAATAAAGATAAATAAAACTGAAATAAAATAGAAGCCAAAGGTGATTTTAAAAGAGCTCGTAGGAAATAATAGAGTATTTGAATTTTGTTAAACCTTTAACTACGACCAACTAGAATGCCAGATAACAGCATAGTACATTTTGTATATGTTTAGAAAATGTTCTGACTATATAAATTTTCTGTGTTCTTCCCTTCTAACATATGTTTCTGAGATTTCCACCAGAACATAAAATACATAGGGATGAGAGATCCCTCCAAATACTTCAATGAAGCCAAGATTCTCAAGATATATTTCAAATAAGCTCATTGTCAGAAAACTAAAAACACATTCACTCAACATGTTTTGATGCAAATAACTATTAAAGGAGAAAGTAATCAAAGGAAAGATGATGACTCCAGTCTTATTTTAGTCAATGCAAGTTAACATTTAAAAAGCATAGATAAAGCCATCCTATAAATTACCAATGCCTTGTTAATCTTTATTTTTTTTAAAAAAAGATGACAATTAAGAGGGAAAATATGGTAAATAGTTGGCAGGTTAACAGATGCTATACTGAATTTATTATTCTGTATTTTGCCCAACATTGTTGAAGAGAACATGTGATGGGAAAAAGAACTTCAACAAAACCAGCAAGGGATTAATTAACTGCGGTGGTTTGTTCACAACTTTTCTCATCAGTTATGTTCCATTGAACTCTAATGATAAACAGGGTGGAAGCCAAAGAGAAGAGTTTAAGACAAGCTCTCAAGCAAAATTGTCATGCAGTTTTCCATCCAATATTTACTGACACATTGTTATGTCTCTGTCCTTGATCTATCTTCTTCAACTTTCTCCTATTCAACAGGAGGTTCCCTTTGGACTCTACTTTCACTTCCACCTATATCATTCCATCTCATCTCTCATCTCCCTAAATTACCTGCTCTGTAACTTCCCCATAGACTTTGCTCATCCAAAGCAGCCTCTGCCCACACTCATCCAAGAACAGGCAGGGCAAATCAATGAATAATCATCAAATGTACCAGTGAACTAGAGAATCCCTAATGAGAGTCAAATGTGTAACCAATGTGGAAGTGAGATTTTCAGCCTCCTGCTTGGGTGCTGACATTATCTATTACCTATGTCTTTTTTATCTTCTATACTCAGACTCTATATCAAATGTGGGGGTAAAGGGAGAGAAGGAATTCTCCGGCTTCTATCCTCTTCCTCATCCTCCTTCTTCATAAGCACTGATAGATATTGACAAGGCTTCAAAATTAATAAAATTATGAGTATGTGATCAGCACGATCCAAGGAGTTAAGTAGTCATTAATATGTTCCAAGCAATAGCCATTAGTGGTCTTAAGGTCTTAAAGATCTTCGATATCAAAGTTTATTTATCTCAGGAATTATTTGTTATATGTTATTGAGGATCAAAATCACAGGTGCTGGAAACAAAGGCCTTCCCAGGTACACAGCCCATTTGTAGACATCGATTTTCCTCCTGCTGCTCTGAGCCCTGCAGCTGAGGACTTCCTAAGGGTAAAATGGGGGAGTGGGACAGAGGCAGGCTCAGCACAGGCTCCCACTTCCCTTTCTATTTGGAGGACATCCAGCAGTGTTCTGAGAACATCCTTCTGAACCCAAACTCACAAAACAGGAAAACAGGTAAGAATGAAAGAAAGTGCTTTCTCTCTCAGTTCCTAAGAAGAAATGTTTCTAATGAAATCTTAGATAGAGGAGAGAGTTAAACAAAAGAATCAAAATATATGAGTGTTATGATTTATGTTGTGGAATGTGGGAAATCTATTGTGTAGGAAATATACAAACATCATTATCTTATTTACTTTCTAAGATTTTTAAATAAAGGCATTGCTTGATGTCCTGGGCACGTATAGTTTTCTTCATTAGGTAAAAATCAAATTACCTTTTATTAATGATAAGATAGATGAAATAAATTTCCAGGAGCAAGTAGAAAAAATGCATTGCTGGCATTCTGATGTACTTTCTAGAATATGATCAAGACATTAAAAAAACTTTGAAACTAACAATTTATCCTCATCTTTCTTTAAAAAACATTTTTAAAAATGTATAAATGCAAGTAATAATTTACAGGTATTATTACCTATGTAAAACTCAAATATCTATGTACTAAGTGAATAATTAAATGTATATAAGACACCCAGAATATGAAATAGTATTCAGTTATTTTAAATGAGGTTTTTACATAATACATTGACAAAAGAAATACCTATATGTGTATTATAAATAATACAACATACAGCTGCATATGTTTTATGAACTCCATGGAGTATATATAAATGCAGCACATAGAAACCATACTCACTGTAAATTGTGAATTCAGAGGTGTTTGTATTTTCCTTTGTTTTTGCAATATTCTCCAAATTTCCCATGGTAAACCTGTATAAACAGAAAAAAATACATTAAAAACTGAGAAAACTTTTGCATGAACAAAAAACTACATTACTGACATATATCATCATTTTTTTGTCAGAAAACTGATGAATCTTGGACTTAGTAGTTAATCTTAATAATATAATTGCAACCTTTATGATTAGCTGAAAAGTAAATACTATTTTTGCAGAGAATAATCTTAAGAATCATGGACAATGATGATCAAGAGAATTAATTTAATGGTTTAAATACTCAAATAGGCAAAATGTGTGTATTGATGTAAACCATACACTATGTAGCTTCATAAAGAAAATAACATTGATTTCAGTTTTGAAGGGTCATTACCATGACTACAGCTCCCTGGAGAATGAATTTCGTCTTTCTGTGAAAAGCAGTATTTATTTTTAAACAAGTACTTCTGTGACACCTCCATCCTTGCAAATGTGTAACTCGATGATTTATGCATGAGAGGGAAAAGATTGTAATCTCTCTAAATCTTCTTAGTCCAAATGAAACAGAAATTTGAAGTCCTTTACCTTTCATTCTGAGTGATAACAGGTTTTCACATGTATTTTTCAGATAATTGCCTCAATTTTCTCCTTCAATTTGTCTGAGTATTCCCCAATTCTCCACAAGCTTTTCTCTCGTTTGGCCCCTGGGCATAAGGAAAGAACTGAGATTATACAAACCCAACATTGTTGTAGATTTCTTAAATGAAGGCAAACAGATGAATAAAGCCAAGAAAAGAGCTAGGAGAGGCTCTTGGTTACTATGGAATTACAAGAAACTCTAGCAAAGCTTGTGTCAACATGGATTTTCAAATGACCAAGAAGTGTTCCGAGAGGTTTTGCCATGAGAGCAAGTAAATACCAAAATTCATCTGGAAAATCTGAAGCACAGATGGCCATTGGTGTGCTGGCAAAATGCATTTCCCTGGGCATCTCTGTATCGGCACAGTAATTATGTTTTAGGTTTGCCTTCTTTATTTCTTTCTATTTTTGCCTAAGTGCAAAACAGAACTGGTTCCCTAGTGAGATCCTTAAACATTTTTGAAATTAGAAAATCCACTGCACTTAAATAAGGAACAAACATTTCCCATCTATCTCTGCTCTCATACAACACAATCTGCTGGGGAGAGACTTACCTGCTATTGGTTTTTATTCTGCACAGTCATATTTTTTTCTTTACCATCAAGTGAGGTGAGAATACTGTGCAGTGTGGAGCAAGACAAACCTGCATTCAAATTCCTGCTCTGACGCAGACCCTCTGTTTAACCGTGGGCAAAATGCTCAGCTAAGCTTTGGGCTTGGCACCCAGAAGACGGGGAGAGGGTAATTATACTGAAAGATTGCCAACTCTACATGGCAGAGACTGTCAGACTCACCATCACCCTTGGGCTTCTCTATTTTTCTCAGTCTCACTTGCAGTTAAGCAGGGGCATGGGTCTGGGTTTTTGCCCATAGAGACATAAAGAAAAATGATAGAAACGATCTACAAGCTCAGTGATTAAAAATGTCCTCTATTTCTAATTTGTTACCTGTGCTTCAGATCTCCAAAGGCCTCCCCGCCCCCAACCACCGCCACGATCCTCCAGTTCAATTAATTTTCTAGAGTGGTTGTGTCTCCTGGGAGCAACCCCATTCATTGGTTAACTTAGGGCTTTCCAAAAGACACATTATTAACATAACAAAAGACACTTTAGGGTTCTCATCGCTTAGGAAATTCCAATGGTTTTAGGAGCTCTGTGCCAGAAACAGAGCGATAAAGTCCAAATACTATTTCTTATCATAAATCTCAATATCACAGATACTTACATTCCATCTAGCATATTCTAAGGTCTAGAATGTCTGGAGTAACCCAAAATGACAGAAATGAGAGAGGCCACCCATGGGGCTTCATGTGACCCAGTCTGGCATGTCAAGGATCCATGACTTTAGACAGAAATCATTAAGTTGTAAGGAACAATGCAATATTATGCCTTCTTTTTTTTTTTGTTCTCATTCCAATTAATAGATATTTAAGAATCTCCTACAATGGGTTTAGCATTATGTGAGATTTAAGGGAAAAAAAACAGACATGGTTCCTGCCTTCAACCACTTTAGAGTTTGATGGAACAGTCAAGAGGGTACACAGACACTTTAATTTGTCAAGCTAGCACAGAGACAGATGAACTTTTAAGGTTCTATGGTAGCAGAAAGACAAAACACTTTCAAAGTGTATTGGGCATTTTTTAAGTAATCATATTTATATAAGCATAAGTATTTTTCATGTATAAAGACTAGACCTTTTGTCATATGTATAGAAATACACAAAACTGCATTTACCTAGAATGTTGATTGTCACATGGAGTCTTCTCTCTGTCTTCTCCCCCTTTTTCATCACAGGATAACACTAATTTATGGTTCAGAATCCTGCTTTGGCAACCCTGCTTTCTGAACTCCTCCCTAAACCCCACACTGCACTCCTGATGCCAACACTGTCAGGGAGAAGCAATAGCTCTTACAGATCTGTACTATCTGTGACAAGCTTTTGCCATCCCTGGTATGCTTCATGGTTTCCCTTAATTACGATTTGACACCGTATTTCCTGTGCTTGATTGCCGTTTCCTCCAGAGCAGAAAACCTCTATGTGATTCATGTTTCTATAGACCTGGCACAGAGTATACACTCAATAATTTTTACATAATTTTATTGAGAAAAATGATATCACTAGAGCCATTTCAAAATGGAGTCAGAGATGCCTTGCATGTCTTGTTCCTTGGTCCTTCAGAATGTTCTAACTGGGCAAAATAACCTCTCAACTGGGACAAACCAATATTGTCATAGAAACAACTTTTTTTGTAAAGCTAACAGGAAAGAAAACATCTTGACTAAGAGGACTGAAAATTAGAACTAGTACCACAGCCATGTATAGCCAGGAAATAATTTATCTTATTTATATCTATAGGAATTCCTTCCTTGGCCTAGTAGCACCAATAGAAATTCTTTTCTTCTGTTCTTGTAATTATTTCCCTTCCTCTTCTCATAAATACCCCTTGCCTCACTTCATAATCAAAACACTGTTTGGATTTCTGACTGAATCGATGCTTCCCAGAATTGCTTTGATTTCAAATCACTTTGGTCTTATATTTTTTAAGATAACATAATCTATGCCCTACCTAATTTACAGGATTATATTAAATTCAAATATCATGTATTATGAAAGTACTTCATAAACTACAATTCCATATGAACATAGTATGGTGTCATTTCTTCTCTGAATTGACATTCTAAAGTAGCTGCAACCTGAAATGAAGAAATCTAATGTAATGGAATACTGAATTGCCCCACTTCCACTATTCAAGAAGCTACTATTTTCCTCTCAGCTATATAACATAACACACGCTTTTTTTCCCAAAAGTTTATGAGTATCTAATCTCCATTTTACAGCATAAAAATGACCTGCTTCCACTTTGTGCTGACTTAATCATATATAAATACTAGAGTAAATATTTTCATTAAACTCCAGGGGTTCTCCTTGGAGCATAAATTGTAGCTTACGAGATCTGGAACTGTGAAAGAAAGAAGAAATGATAAACTGTTCCAGACTGAGGAAGACCAGGGAGAGGTGACAGCTGAAGACAGTGTATAGTTGAATAGAATCATTTTCTATGAAGGACATCAGTGTGACTTGGTGGAAGGTGGGGAGGAATGGAGCTGGGCAAACTTGAAGGGTTTACTGAAAGGAATATGGCATTTATTTATACCACTTTGGCAACTTGTCTGTAGTTTTAAATTTTTCTCAAAATAAAAACTAAAAATATGGTATTTCATAATGAAAATGTTTCAGATCTTTAGAAAGATATGATAGTTTTACTATGGTATGAAGCTAAAGCATAGCCACAAAAAAATAAAATCAGATATTGACAAAGCTAAAGGAAAAATAGACAAACCCAAAATCAGAGTGGAAATTTCAAATAAACATGTCTCAGTAAAGACTGAAAAAGTAGACAAAAATCAAGACTACAAACTAAATACAATTAACAAACTTAACCTTAATTTACTTATATAATAACTTGCCCTCAACTGTTGCAGAATACATATTTTTTCCAAATTCATATAAAACATGTTCTAGAATCAGGCAAAGCTGAAAAATAGATGAAACTTTAACTGATTATAAAGGTTTTAAAATCATACAGAATAGGGGAATGCTATGGGCTGAATTGTGTCTCTTTCAAAGTTTACATGTTGAAATCCTAATACACAACACCTCAGAATGTGACTGTATTTGAGAAAAGGACCTTTAAATAGTGGTTAAGGTTAAATGAGTCTGTTAGGCTGGGCCCAAATCCAATCTGCCTGATGTCTTTATAAGAAGAGAGAATTTGGACACACAGAGGAAAGGCCATGTGAGAGCACAGTGAGAAGGCAGCCATCTGCACACTTCGGACAGAGGTCTCAGAAAAAAACAACCCTGCTGACGCCTTGGTTTTGGACTTCTAGCCTCCAAGAGTTTGATAGAGGAAATTTTTGATGTGTAAACCAGCCAGTCTGTGGTACTTTGTTATGGCAGCCCAAGCAAACTGATCGAGAGTATGTTGGCAATCCATATAATTAGCAAAGAATTTAAATCGAGAAAATAAAGAGAACGACGACAAATAAATAAGAAAAAGAAATCTGATTAAAAATGGCAAGAGACTTCAATAGGCAGGTTGCATATTTAAATATGACAGACTTATGAAAAGTTGCCTAAAATCATAAGTGTTATAGAAATGTAAATGAGAACTATATCCCCAAAAGAGAAAACAACAATTTAACAATTCAAAGTACTGTTGGAGTCAGTGGATCCCTCAGACTTTGCTGATTAGGGTGTAAATTGTTATTAATGCTTTGAAACTCTTTGTACGTAGGAAGTTTAAGATGCACACAGTCCATAAGGTAGCAATTTCATTCCCAAGTAACAGAAATGTGTGCTTCAAAAGACATGTCTTAGAATGATTATAGCAGAATTTTCATAATGACCCTTAACTGGAAATATGCATCAGTAATAGATTAGGAAATATATTAAATTATGTTGCTTTACAGAAATAAAACCAAATCAGTTATTGCTACATGCAACAAATTTTATGAATCACAGACAAAATGTTCAAAGAAGACAGGTACAAATTGTATGAGTACACTTAATATAAGCTTAAAAAACACCAAATTCCACGGTTTTGGAAATTACGGTAGTGCTTGCCTTTGGGGCAGGGAGTGCAATAATGTGCACATGGGTGTGAAAGAGCCTCTGGGTGCTGGTAGGGTTCGATATCCGACCGGCTCGGTGGTTACCCAAATGTGCTCACTTTGTAAGCACTTTTCAGGATGAGCTTATGAAATATATATTTTAATGTTATTTTATGTTATAAATTGATATCATAATTTATTTTAAAAATAAAAACTCACGATACCATGTTCTAACTGGTTTCGGGGTCTTTCTTGATATGTCACTGTTTAAACCATGTTTGTGTTAACTAAAAATAAACACCTTGATTATTTTCCACTAATACTCACTGCAGATGTTTCAAGTTTGCTTCCTCTAGTGGTTTCAATAATTCTGGACTATTTTTAGATCCATTTAATGGCTTTTATTTCTGATATCCAAGTAGTAAACATTTTGATCCTGTATCGAAAGTTG